TATTGAACGTTTTTATTGAACAATTTAATTGGATTTACAAGAAAGTAATTATTAAGCATGATTTATGCACATAATATAAGTACAATGAGGAGGTAGCAACGATGATTATCAAACTGAGACCCTAGGTTAATAAATTGACCTATTTGGCTTAATCTGAAGCAGTGGTGGGTACGCAAAACAAGCAAAGTTCATGCATGAGCAAAATAAAGAAATTCCCAAAGCGTTAGTATGCTTGTTTGTCTGGAGGAACATAGTTTCTTTGTGCTCCACATTGTCATACAACAATCCTTGTGCATGTCTTTTGTGCCACACCATATGTACATCTGTATATGTGCATGAGCATATATGCAAATAGACTTATTTTGGGGTTAAGAAGACTTATAGAAAGCTTTTACCACAATTATTGCTACTGTGGTACTTAAAAAGAAATTGCAATAGAGAATATGAATGCTGTATTCGCTTTTTCAAAAGTTCAATTATGATGCTACTTCATAATGAGAAGAATGTGGGTGCAGTCAGTATCTAGTGATGCATTATGGAATATAAGTACACAAGTAGAATGACTGGCACCTGCTTGGTGCAAGGGTACAAGTCTCATTGGGGCTTTCTATGCTCGGTTCAAGCACTCTTAGTTAAGAAAGCCATCTGATCTGAGAAGAAAAAAATAAAAATTCATAAGTAGAATAGCAGGTCCAATTGACTTATGATGGAATCTTGTTTTAGTTCCAAAGTTGAATTATGGTGTATCCGCAAGATTATGACTTGCAGAATGTTTCGATCTCCGGTACAATTGCATATTATTAGCATGTTTTTTATCCAAGCTTCACAGGATAAACATTGAACCTTAAGTTTGTTTATTTCTATCCTGCAGCTGTTCGACCGGTACCGTGGTAGACGTGTTCCTGTATGAGGATGGGAAATAACACTTTAGCATAATCCACTTGTATGGAATATGGTGAGGACAAGACGTATCGCTTAACTTTGTTCCTCGGTGAAGTAGAAAATGAGTCTCGTGTGAGATCAAATTCTACCTTCTCTTTTTGTATACAGGAAAAAGATTAAGAAAGGGAAAGTAGTCTGTGCTTTCTGCTGTTGTTTTACTGTTGTTACGGTGTTAACTGCTGGATGAAATATAATTTTTTCATTGAGATTGACCTCTGTAAATTCCAGTTTTGTTTCTGAAGATCTTAGGTTATCTTTGCAAAATTTAACAATTTCTTGGAATAACAACAGTACATTATAAATAGATAAAGTTGAATCTAAGTAGTATACATTTTTTTTTTTTCCTTTTTTAGTTTGAACTCTCTGGAATTTTTTCAAATGATGAAAAATTCAATGTGCGGGAGGAACTTAAATAAGTTGAATCTCTCACATTGCTGCCGCTGAGAAAAAAGGGCATACAATCAAACCCAGAGAAAGGGAGGGCACGCACTACTTTGACACTTCAATCTAGCCTTCTATAATTTGATGTCATTAAGCTCCGTCATAAATTGTTATATAGATCTCTCTTAACCTTTGAAGATCAAAACTGGGTCATCAATGTTTTCCAAATATTACAACAACAAAAAAAAGAAAAGGTCATCTCTTCATTTTTTATGATATGCAGAGAGCATTTGAAAATTAGAAATCTAAAATGCAGTAATTTTCTCTAAAAGAAAGAAAGAAAGAAAGAAATGAGAAAAAAGAAAAAAGTATGTAGTACACTTTTCCATTACTTTACAAAGGGTTAGACTAACAGTATAAAATTATATTACAATTTGTCTGTCTGCAGCACAAATAATTTAAAAATGTTTTTTTTTTTTTTAAGGAAAAAAGAAGATATAAAAAAAGTCAAGAATATACTTGTATTTTTCCACTAGAACTGGTGGAAGTATCATCGGGAGGGCTAATGGATATCCACAGTAAAGATAGCGTAATGGAAAGTAGGCCTGACCAAACGTAAACAATTGTAGGTACTCTTCCCCTTCTACCCATCAACCCTTTTGCAAAAGGGTACATATGAGCCAACACCCAGAAGCTGAAGAATATACCTCCCATCAATTTACTCCATTGTGGTATCACACTGTACAAGTTCCTTGCACAACCCATAACTATGGCTATAAGGTTTACCACGATGATTGTCAATGGCATTATGAACAGACTCGTCCATTTCACCAAGTACAACTCTGCGTATAAATCTTCATCATCTTCTGATGCTGACTTTGATGTGAGCTTGAAGGAAATTTCAATTCCAGCAATGACTTTAAGCAGGCCTTGAATCACTGCTGTTAGATGAGCACTGGTCCCACCAATCACCCAAAACTGCTCGTTACGCCACCATTCCTCTAATCCAATCCCAGACCATTTCACTTCCAGGAGGGAGATGAGAGTGAGTGTGACAGTAATGGTGAGGAGGTAAGTAAGGAAGGCAACATCAAGCCCCTGGACAATGAATTGTCCGGTGAAGAGAGAAATGGCAGGAAGGAAACAATAAACCACCAAGAATATGGAGGTAAATGGGTAGATACCCACGTTGAGGTAAGCAATGCGTTGGAGAAACTTAAGACGTTTACTTGCAAGCAACGCATTATTTTTAGAAAAGAAGATCTCCACTGAACCAGTTGCCCACCGAAGGACCTGGTGCAGCCGGTCTGTAAGATTAATCGGCGCTGTACCACGAAATGCATCACGTTTTGTGATGCAGTAAACTGATCGCCACCCACGGTTGTGCATCCGGTAACCTGTCACCACATCTTCTGTAACAGACCCATAAATCCATCCTATTCTATCTCCCCACTCAGTCTTGTCTTCATACCAGCACGAAATTACAGCAATTGCTTCAGCTACTGTAGGAGCATCTAATGGCGGACGTGGAGCAAGCAATGCACCAGGAGGTCGTCCGTTCTTGATCGAAATATGATCAGCAAGTGGGCGTCCTTGAAACTCTGCAACAGCTATAGAATCTGTGAAAACAGATGAGTTGCCAAACATTTTAGGGAGACCCAAATCAGGGTGTTGATTTAAGGGTTGCGAGTCAAGATCTTCCTCTGTACTAGACCCACCTCGTACATGGACTTTGCTCTTGACTTGTCCGAACATGCCTAGATATTCATTTGCCCTCGGTGGGTTAAAGCCATAGAGTGCATATCGCCGGAACATACACCCTGTTCCCACGTATACAGGCCCTTGTAGACCATCAAGAGCTCGCATGTTTCCATCAAAGAAGACGGTGTTATGATTTGCATATCGATCTGATGGATCAATACCTTCAAATCTTTGTGGGAATTGGATGTAACATATCCGATCACCGCCACGGTCCATCATGAAACACATCCCTTCTCTTATAGCTTTAGAGTTATATATATAATGATCACAGTCTAGATTGAGTATGAATGGACCATTGGATAATATTGCTGAAGCTCTAACCATAGCGTTCATGGCTCCAGCTTTCTTGTTATGGTCATAACCAGGCCGTTTCTCACGGGAAACGTAAGCAAACATTGGAACTCGAATATCAACTCCAGTGAAATCCAACCTTTTCTCATCTGGGTATCCCATAACTGGATCATTTTCTGGAACTTTGCTCATAATTTGTAAGATTCCAGCGTGATCTCCTTTAGTGTGATCTGCTGTTGGGTTAAGCCATGTACCTGGCCAATGAGTCCCATCAGCCATCCATGTCGCTTTGGGAACTTGCACTCCCTCGGGCGGTAGTTGGCCGCCATTTTTCTCTCTTGCTATCTTTTTTTCCTTCGCTTCCTCCTTGGAGTTGTACTGTTCACTCCTCTTACGTATTGCATCAGGTAAACCATTTATTCTAACCTTGAACTCATCATATTCTCTTTTAATCCAACGTCGGTCTTTGACAAAATCAGGTCTTTTCTTGTTCTTGGTTGGGTCTGTTTTTAGGTTAAAGTAGCTGTCCGGGTTCCTGGGTTCAATTTCATGTTTTCGACAAAAGGGAACCCAAATCTCAGCAAAGCGAACAGCCTCCGCCATGGCCTCAAATGTGAGAATGGCACCACCATCATCGGATATATAAGCTGATAGCTTCTCCACCGGGTAGTCAACGGCAAGGATTGACAAAATGGTATTTGCAGTGACAAGAGGAGGTTCCTTGTCTGGATCAGCTGTGGAGACAAACACATCAACCCCAGGGAGATCAGAACGGCAGGTTGGGTTTGAGGGGGAAGCCTGCTCAAACTTGTCACGTAAAGCACCGAGATCAGTAGCTCGATTTATTGGGTTGAACTTGGGTAAAATATCAAGCAACCAAGAGAAAGCAAACCAGATTTCACAAACTATGGATAAACCCCATAACACCATTGCATCCTCGTTAGGGTTTCGAACTCTCCATGATAGAAAAAATCCTAGAACTATCAACCGGATAGCGATCAATAACCTGTAAGGACTGAGAACACCGGCCGGAACCTTCACCTTTCTAGTTAAAGGCTTCCATGGCTTATCAAGAAAATCAGACATGGTCACCCCACTGTCGTATCCATCACCTCCCTCCGACCAAAACGCATTTCCAATACCATATTTACCTTTTGTCTCAAACAACCAACGATTATGATCGAAATCCCCTGTTTGGCTCCTCAACAACATGGACATGTTATTGGCTGATTTCATCACAGACAATCTTCTTTCCAGCTTGTTTCCCATCCCCCCTGCATTGCTGCCGTTGTTACCACTTCCCCCACCACCTCCGCGCGACTCATTTCCAAATCGGCTTGGCCCATATGAGGTGGCGCCCTCTGGTTTGGAGTCTGAGGCAGGCCCAGATGCCCCTCCTGGTTGGTTGTCTGGGGTAGGGGGCATAAGGACGGTGTAGTTAATATAGTCATTTTGGCTAGAGAAATCTCCTGATGTATCCAAGTCATCGTCTCGAGATAAACTCACTATACGACTGCTGGATGTTCGACGAGTGAATTTCACCGGTGGACGGCCGACTGACGATGAAGAAGATGACAGAGATTTCTTTGGTGGGCTAGTAGGACTTGCCATGTTTTAATACACACACACACACATATATATATGTATATATGTATTCACTTTTGTTGGTATCTTCTCTAGCCACCCAAAACCTGTTGATTGCCATGCAAAGTCATATTAAAAGATCAGCATAGAAAATGATGCAGAAGGGAAAATGTGAAAGAAAGAGGGAAAGAATGGGAAGCGTATGGAGGTGAGTTGAATGGTTGGTTGGTAGGTAAATATTGTGTTCTAATTTTGGGTCCTCATTTTAAGCCTCACCTCTCCCTCCCTCCTCCCCTCCTTCCTTCGATTTTTGTCTTTTGAATATATTAAAATGTCTAAGGGCGAAAATCATGGTACTTATGTTAGAAAAATATAAATATAGAGATTTATTGTGTGTGTATATTGATATATGTGCATATTTTGAAGCTATTTTTATTGTACATGCAAATTAAAATTAGCAAATTTAGATAGGGTTATTGGGTATTTGCCGGTTGATTTAACTAATTATTTTTACTAAAAACCATATAATTATATTAGTATAATCAATATATATTCATATTATACAAGCATTATCAGAAAATGCTACATGGTATTTTATTTTTTAAACATAAATAAGAAAAAATAATATGTTATAAATATATATATATATATAAATAATAATACACATAATTTTTTAATCACGACATTGAGAAAATCTTTAAAAGTGGGTTTAGCTTACGTCTCTATCTCTAATTTATATTAATCTCGTACGCAATCAATGAGTTCTAATCATTCAGCTATATGTCTTATTGCCTACAACTAAAAACACAGTTTAATTATGGCCCTCGTTAACAAAATTATTAAATTCTCAAAATATATATTTACAGAATATTCAATTTTTTTACCACGGTAATTGATTAGCATTTGGAATTTGGATATCACAATTGAAATTTACATGTAGTAACGTGAATATATATATATATATATATATATAAATACTGTGCGTGTGTGTGTATATATATGTATATACACACATATAATTACTGCAGCTTGCCAAGTGCAGTCACGTCCATTAATTCAGCAAAACAAGCAAGCTGGCCAAAGTCTTCGTCTCCAAAATCTTGATAATCCACCAACCATGAATTAGAATAATAATTTTCTTCCGAAGAAGAAAACCCTAGCTGATCATCAAATCCAGTCGGCGGCAACTCCCACAACAACTGTTCATCATCCATCAATATCGTCTCTGCCCATACTGCTACATCACCGCTGCTAATCTTCTGCTCCATTAATATATCAGAGCTTGAAGACGAAGAACAATACTGATCATTCATGGCGGGTTTCTGGCCAATATGGTTATTTATGCTTGATATTGGTGATGGACCATCATGATCATCAAGAAGGCCTGAAGAATGATCATCATCATCACCGTTCATGGTTATCAGATTTTTTTCGGTGCTATGATCGTGATCGTGATCATGGCCATCATCAGGTTTTTCTTGTTGCATCTCATTATTATGGAGAGGTTGATGGGTGACTGGATCAATGCCCATCTTGATAAGCTTTTTCTTGATGTGAGTGTTCCAGTGATTCTTGATCTCGTTATCAGTTCTTCCTGGTAATTTTGCTGCAATCTTGGACCATCTAAAGAAAATGAAGCCCCAACTATATGTTATATAATATTATTAATATATTATATCCATATGATTAAGAAACATAAATTAATTTATCAGCTAATCAATTAAAAAATATATGTGTGTGTGTGTGTGCTTAATTATATATATAATAATGTGTTTGTTTACTTAATTATATGAATTTAATTAATTCCACACGGCTCCATTGTTTCATTAATTAATTAATTCATTCATTTTTTGCACGTACAAAAATCCCATTAGAAAGAACAAAAGAGTAAAAATAAAATTTGATCTATGTTTATTTTATAAAATGAGGTGAAAATAAAATTCAAATTAAGTAATTAAATTTTTTTGGTCACCTAATGATGTGTTTGAGAAAATTATTTTTAAATAAAATTTTTTACATTTGTTAATAAATAATATATACACGTTAAAAAATTAATATTTAAAATATAATAAATAAAAATATAATTCCATTTAAATTTATAATATTTTAATTGACGTGTCAAAAATTAAAATTTTTTATGTCAAATCATGTTAATCAATTTTGCTACTTAATATTAAACAAACTAATACGTTAATTTGCTATATATATATATATATAGAGAGAGAGATATATACCAGGTTTTTCTGCCATCTAATAAATTGCCTATAATAAAAATCACCCAAAAAAATTACCCATAAAATTAACCAAGCAATTTGAAAATAATTAATTGGGAGAAAAATTACAATGAAATGAATACCTATTCCCAAGACGAGCATGAAGGTCAATGACGAGCTGTTCTTCAGCTTCATTAAGCAAACCTCTCTTCAAGTCAGGCCGGAGGTAATTAGTCCACCGGAGACGGCAACTCTTGCCGCACCGCCGGAGACCGGCGAGCTTGGGGACGGCTCGCCAGCAACAATGGCCGTGGGTTAGAATAAAAGTGACCAATTTCTTGTCCTCCTCCGCCGTCCACGGCCCCTTCTTCACTCCAAGCTTGTCACAGCAGGGTTGCCTCCCCATAATCACAGAAATTAATTGAGAGATTAGTGGGTAATTATAATTAATTTCCACTATACAACTAGTAGAAGAGAGCGCCCCACTCAACCACCTATATATACTAACTCATTATTCCCCTTTCTTTCGGGGAGATTTTAAATGTTTTGCTTTCGGGGGATCGAAATTTCTCTCACGCTGTCTTTATGCGCGTGTACCGCACTCTCCCCGTCCATGTGAAAAATAGTAAATTTTGGGGGAGGACTAGCAGGGCCTTTAGTAATAGGGAGTCGTGGAATTTGTATATCATATGGTAATTACACCATGCTTTTCAATTTGTTTTTAACTTTTACGTCAAGTTAAGTTATAATTATAAAAAAAAAAAAATTAACTATTAATTTAATTCCTATTATAGTATGAAAATTCTGAAAAAAAAATAATTTGAAAATAAGTTATTTTCTTTTTTGAAGATATATGTTTACTTAATTGATTATTATTATCAATTACCCTCCCGAAAAGATCATGCCAAATGCATTTCACTCACGAAAAGAAAATGAGCCTCTCCCCTTAATTTTATAATTACTTTACTTTATAATTTTTAAAATTTAATTAATCTTGTATTATTGATTAATAATAAAATAATCAATACAAAATGTGCCATTTAAACCTGTGTATTTATTTTTTATTATTATATTATCTGAATTTACACGAATTTATAAAGTTAAATAAAACGGAAAGTAATAAGCTACGAGTGAGATTGTTTCCCACGCGCGTGAGTTAATTTGAGGAAAGAGAGGTGTGGTGGACCCCGCGTCAGTTCATGAAAGGTGCCCGGGACCTAAATGTGTAGGATGGGACCTTTCTCGTGTGCTTGGCTCCACTAAATGGACGCTCTATGGCTGTGATGGTGGCAAATTAACAGTCCAATTAGAATTCTCCACGTAAGCCTTTTAAGTTCTCTCTCTTTATTAAGACTCCAACAAACTCCAATAAATCTTACTTAAGCATTTCGTCATCTATGGCGTCACGCAATGTTTAATTCTTTTTTTTTCCCCTTATTAAATATATGATTTTTAATTTTTTTTCTTTTAAGAGATCGAAGAGTAAAATAGAAATTATCAAGAAATATAATTTAATTAATATCTTAAAATTTATTGAAACTATATTTCTTTAGATAATTTTAAAAATATATTTTCTCACGTTGCTTTTGCAAATTTTATTTTATTTTAAAAAATAAATCTACAAAATTAATAAAAAATTAAAAATTTATCAACTAAATTAGTCTTTACAAAAAAATTTATTAAAAGAATTTTGTGAATAGATCGTGATAGGAATGTTCCTTTGTTTTCAATTTTATAAATAGGTGAAACACAATTTTTGAAATTTATTAAAATGTTTTCTTAATCATATTGTAAATTTTTTAAATAAAATTTTTAAAAAATTAAATGGTCTAATATATTACGATATGTGATATAATTAAAATTATTATTTCACAAATTGAAAATAATAAATTATCATATCATTTAATAAAATTAAAATATCTTAAATTGAACATATCTCTTTAAATAAATAATATGAAACTTAAGAGTTACGGATGTATTTAATGTACTCAAGAAGAAAAAAAAAAAAAAAAAAAGAATTGCACAATGCTTTTGCTATTTCATAGTAGTTATAAGTTTCTACCTTGCATAAATTTCAACAATAGTTGAAACATGACTAAGGACTTGGAATTCTTGACCAGCCATAAAGTGGTCAAACAGTTTTTTGAATAAGGACGTTGTAGAGAACATTAGAGAATGCATGTTACGTACGGGCTTTGTTATACTTAAGTGATGTAATGTTTGAGTCATGTCATCGTCATAAACATTCATATATATATATATATATATATAGACACACACACACACACACACAAATATATGAACCTCTGTGTGTGTGTGTATATATATTATATGGGTAGAGAATTTATAACCCGAATTGTATCAACCAACAATGAATAAAAGGGTTGAAAAGCTGCTTAATTAAAGTGCTTTTGGGTGGAACCAGTCACCATGACTAGTTTAAAAAGCAGTTCTTTATGTTAGGTTGGATTTTGTTTTATGTTTTTCTGTACATGGCACGGTTTTGTTCTCAAACTCGTGAAGAAACTTAATGTGGGCCTGAACTAAATGGGCCCACAAAAAGATCCCATTATCCAAATTAAGGGATTTGTGGTTTTCAATTGGATGGTAATACCTGTAAAGATTTTCTTGTTATAATGATGATGGGAGTGAGCCAATCAAAAAAGACATTGATGACAATCTACTTTTAAAACCGTGGGATACGTTACTTGGTGGGGGGGGGGCTTGCCCCATATCTTTCTAGCATCTGGGCTCGGTTTCTATGGGCTGAGAAACGGCGCCGTTTCTTGCCTCATATCTTTCTAGCATCCAGGCTCGATTTCCATGGGCTGAGAAACGGCGACGTTTCTTGCCTCAAATCTTTAATTATTGTCAAAAACCCGGTCATTAAACATCCGAGCTTTGATATCTCCAAAACGACATTTAGTTCACTTCTTTTAAAATAAAACGGCACTAGTTTGTGCACGTTTGTTTCTACACAGAAACGGCGCCGTTGCGTCGTGCAGTTATTACTGGTGGTCACGTTGTGCGCGTCACTTGTTCGACCAAATGCCTCGTTGAAAACCAAAGATCGAAACTGAATTGAGAAATCGCAGAATCAAGTGAAAAGAGACGGGAAACCGAGAGATGTGGAGGCGCGTGGTTTCACTTTCTCCTGTGATCTCTTCCTCGAAGTCCTCATTGCTTAACCAGGTACAGAGAGTCTCTGTTCAAATTCGTCAACAACATTCAGGTTTCGTTTCATTTGATGATCGTGTAGATTTCTTCTCGCGTGCGTGTATGCTTATTGTGCGGTGTGAACGGCTTAATGTGTTGGTTTCTTGAACTTGACTTAGGCAGCGTATAGATTCAGGATTTGGGAATCATTTGCTACAGAGATTATCAATCCGGTACTTGTTACTTTATAACTTGTTTTGTTTGATGAATTTCAAATGAGGCTTGATTCGTGTTGAGAATCCAACTTTAGAACTTTTCTCCTTTTGGAAGATTGCGACAAGTAAAATGATCTGCTTGTGGTTGCTTTCTTTATGTGGCTGCAGGGGAAATGTGGAATATCTCCCATGGAAAAAACTCCATTCATTACTTTTGTGCTTGGTAATTATGTTGTCTTTTTCAGGAATGTCTCCTCAAAAGTCTCATTTTATGATTGATTATGTTTAACAATTTCCATTTATATATATATATATATATATCTATATACGTATCTTCCCACTTAATTAAAAGTGACTTCCACCTGTATTTTGGTCAAAAAAGTGTTCAGCATCTGTTCTTTTTACCATAATGTTGAGTGAGGCTCAAGCTCATAGTTAGATTGTGAATTTGCTATCTACTTCCCAAATACTCATGTCTTTGTATTTTGATAACTATAATCCAAGTACAATTTGGTACAGAAACCATTTATAAATACGATTTGGTAGAACTGTTAAGAATGGCACTAAAATTAGTAAGTGGTTGGATATTTCTTTTCATATTGTTAACGTTGTTAAAGTGTCAGCGATCAATCAGGTCATCTAACAATATTGGTGAAACGGTAGCTTGCTAAAGATATTCTAACATATAAAAGTGCTTTTAATTATCTAGAATATCCATTTTAGGAATAGCTGCAGTGAGTGCCATGGGCTTCGGGTACCTCATTTACTTTCAATCCCCTTATGGAAGTTCTTTGTGAGAAACCAGCTGTTTTTACGAACTTCCATTGATTGTTTGTGGTATTATTGAATTATTACAACAGTAACAATTTAATGGATATATTTTTTTTTTGGGAAAATATTCTATGAATACCATTGCATTTTTTGTGAAGGATACCGATATAAATATCTTTGAACTATGCTCTAGGTGGCCCTGGAAGTGGAAAAGGCACACAATGTATAAAGATAGCTGACACATTTGGATTCATGCATCTGAGTGCAGGAGATTTGTTAAGGACGGAAATAGCTTCAAACAGTGAAGACGGGTAAGAATGCTCTGTGGTTGTGGAGTATCATCTTTACTAAACAGATTTACAAATCCTCTGATGGTTGAACTGCAATTTCAGGGCCATGATCCTTAACACTATTAAAGAAGGAAAAATTGTTCCTTCAGAAGTGACAGTCAAACTGATTCAGAGAGAGATTGAATCAAGTGACTGCCATAAGTTTCTCATTGATGGTTTCCCCCGAACTGAGGAGAATCGAATTGCATTTGAGAAAATTGTGAGTTCTCATCAATCTCTAATGCATATTGGCTGAAGGATGTTTATTGTGTTTTATGTTACTTAAAAAGGCTCTTATCAAAATTTAATTTAAATCTTACTTACTGTATATGATAAGAGAGAAAATATATGGAGGTTAGAGCAAGTAATAGTTATGTAGTGAAATCAGACTATCTCTGTCACTTTTGTCAGAAATCCTTTGTTCTCGTACTTATGACATTGCAACGCAGATGGGAGTGGAGCCAAAAATTGTGCTGTTCTTTGATTGCCCTGAAGAAGAGATGGTGAAACGAGTACTGGGCCGTAATGAGGTGTTACTTATGGATAACTTATTTGTTCAAGTCATATTCAGACCATTGAAGTAAAGGTCCCTTCTTATTATTTCAGGGCAGGGTTGATGATAACATAGATACCATGAAGAAGCGTCTTAATGTGTTTACAGCATTAAGTCTTCCTGTCATAAATTACTACGAAAAGAAAGGAAAGCTTTACACTGTAAGTGACTAACAAATGCGACATTTCACAATTGATATCCTGTCTCCTAATTCACTAGTACTAGTAAAAAACCTTTGTATGCAGATCAATGCAGTAGGATCAGTGGACGAGATATTTGAGAAAGTTCGCCCTGTTTTTGCTGAATGTGAGGTGTGTCTTCTAACCATCGTCTTTCACAAAGTGTTGATTATCAAATATGATATTTCCTCCCTCCAACAAGAGTGGCAATGGGATTGAAAGCATTCAGGGTTATGAAAAATAACATTTCATATCACATATTAGTAAATTTTCATGACTTTGATTCTTTTCTTTGACAGGAAATGACCCAATAGTGCTCCGTGTCTGAGAAGGATAGCACAATGCACATTTCTGCCACATGAGCGGAGGCTAGCTGGAAGTATATAACATGTATTCATATACATTGGGGGTTTTGCAGAAGGGGAGAAGAATTCTCTTCAGAAAGAGCCCCAGAGTTATGTCATCAAACTTTTACCCACAGATAGTAAATATTTTCCCGTTTACTGCTTTTTAAAGTTGACGGTGCACTGTTATAGCTTCTAAGGTTAACGTGAATTGTTAAGATATTAAGTGGCACTAGGAAAAGCTGCATCTTTGTGGCTGAACCCTATGTTACAAGCAAAATGAGGAAAAAATTTCAAGGTAAATTTTGTATAATCTGAAATTTTGGGTATATCAGAGGGAAAAATTCGGTGCTCCTTTCCCTAAATAAAAACTTTCCAAGTGGGTATTTACCACTAAATTTATAGTTAAGAAAAACACCATAAAGTACAAAAGATATCCAGTTTTTATAATTTCAGAAATGGTTATCGTTATACAACCGCCTAGCATCTTCAAGGATTCAATGACCTTGCACTGCTTTTCCAGAAGTAACAAAAGCAGAAAACAGAAGGTACCAACAAAAATTCAACACAAGAGAAGTAGTCTCTTTTTCCCCGACTCATCCCTAACCCCACTTCTGGTCAATCACAGGCCCGTCACCCTTCAAAAACTCGAAGCCCTAGACGCTGTCGTTCAGGACCTCGAAGCCTCTGTTAAAAGGGGTATAATCATCGATACCAAAATTTTTGCTTCCCTTTTAGAAACATGCTACCACCTAAAAGCCATTGATCATGGTATTAGAATCCACCGCCTTATACCACCAAAGCTTTTGCGCAAAAATGTCGGCGTTTCCTCCAAACTCCTCAGGCTCTACGCTTTCTGTGGTCACATAGAGAATGCTCACGAAGTATTCGATCAAATGTCTAAACGAAATGCATACGCTTTTGCGTGGAACTCACTTA